GAGAGAGAGAGAGAGAGAGAGAGAGAGAGAGAGAGAGAGAGAGAGAGAGAGAGAGAGAGAGTTCACCTTGGATCAGCGATGAGCGCAGCTGCGACTTGGTGTCTCGCGGAGCAGCTGTGTGGGACTGAATGCACGAGCAGGAAGGGAGATGCTGCCTATATTTCTCAGAAGCCCCGGGTGTCAATTTGGATGAAGGAGTTAAGCAGGTGTTGTCGGCTGGGGCCCGCGCAGCCAATCGGAGGCGAAGAAACCCGCGTCCAAGGTTTTCAGGGGGAGTGTCCATTTAAAAGTCTCCTTTTTGTCATAAAACTGGCAGCTCGTGCACGGATCTACAATCACCCCACCACCACCCCCCAGCAAATCTGCACAAATTAACATCATTTGAAACTATAAGACTTCCAATACCACCCCCCCACAAATGACATGACCCGACTTCAAGGTTGGCAGTAAATAGCAATCATGATAACAATAATAATAATAAAAAAGTTGGGCTGATTTTGCAGTGAAACAAAGTTGCAAATTTAGGATGCACAAGTGCAAAAGCAGCAGAATGATGCCCAAGCCTTGGATTAGTGAATCAGTGTTCCAACACAGAACAAGATTTTCCTCTGTGTTTGTGTGGGTTCCTTCGGCTGTCTGTTAGCAAAATATTTCATTAACAACCAGACGTATTTCTCTGAATTTATTTTAGAAAGTAATTGTTGCATGATGTACATCTATAACTGACAAGGATTTGACTTGATTGAAGATGGCCGCCACGGCTAAGCGACTTTACCAAAACACATTAAAGGCTGCAACTCTAGCATTTTGAGAGGTATTGAGAAAAAATGTTGGTGTGATAGTAGATGAGGGTCTTCTACGTGTACAATACTTTAAACATTAACTAATCAAGCAAACTCTGCTTTTGAACTTTGCCATTAGTCAGCTTGTCTGTTAGCAGAATATCTAATGAAACACAAGATGGATTTTAATCAAACTTTTAGAAAACACCTCTTTGACATACATCTACAATTCTTTAACGTTTGAAGCCAACYTGATTTAAGTTGGCTGCCGCCACCCTCTGATATGAGAAAGCACAAAAATGACATCAACTCACTCAACTTTGCAGACATTGAGAAAACATTTGGTATGTTAGTAGCTGAGAGTCATATCTAACTCAAACTCCGAGCACCACACCACACACAGTGCTGTTATTTAAAATTTTGACATTAAATACTGGAGTCAACAGTGTTTGTCTGTTAGCAAAGCATCTCAAGAACCAGTTGATGGATTTGAMTGAAACTCTAAAAAAGCATTTATTTAGATGTCCGTCAACAACTCATTAACTTTGGGAAACATTCAAATTTAAAGTAACTGACTAATCAACCTGAGACAAAACTAAAATCGCTTGTCAAATTTACAGATATTGAGCTGAAGCTTGTCATGGTGGTAGCTGAGCGTCACCCCCAACTGTTACTATCATTTCTCATCTCATCAGACATCACATTATGGTACAGGACAACGCACAATGACATGTTTAGGTTTTGACCAAAAAGGCTCTAATTCCATTATTTCTCATAGCATGAAAGGTTACACGCATTCCTTCAAGAAATGCCACAGATCCTCAATTTGTGACTGAAATAGTCAGCCGGGTTCAGGCAGAAACACTTACTTTTAATTCAAATCGTGTGTAGAAAGAACACACGTGTATTAGGATGCTATAAAGCTCTAAATAAATGCCTTTAAATAACATTTTTATGGGGACACAAATTAGCAGATTTCTGTTACACAATGCCTGATTCATTCTGCAACAATGAGGTCTGTTAACCCAGAACACAGGTTGTGTTCCTTGAATGCATCACACTGGGAGGCCTTGGAGAAATAACTTCTGTCAAAGTAACACCTAAAAATGACTGTGCACAGCTCCAAGCCCACTGAGCCCGCAGAAGGAACAAAGCCTCGGGTTTCTAAAGATTTTTAAGATATGATTGCATATTTTTTTCTTGGTGGAGTTTATTGTTTTATTATTTTTTATTTATTTTATAGGAGGCAGTGTTTTGATGAATGCTGGCATCAATTCTGCTGTGCCAGTGGCAGGAAATGACCACGAGGATTCAGGATTGGAAGCTGCACTAAAGTCTCAAGCCTCCAGGGGGCCCACTGATACTAATTGTTTCAGCTTTCTCCTAATTACAACCCAGCACCGCTGCAGCCTCACCTTGATAAGCCCAAGRTCCAACCATCCAAACTCCAGCAGAGAAGGATAAACCCACAACTTCTGGAAATTTAGATTTCTCCTCTTTTACCAAATCTAGCTGTTTTTTAGATAGCCTACAACACAAAGTCCCAAAACCAAAGCTGGTGGTTTAATGTTAACTGGGGTTGAGCACCTCTGGTCAGTAGCTGAAACAATCTCAATGCAACAATTTGATTGATTAAGGATGAATGAGCAATATAACAAGATGACGGTTTGATTCATTGCATTGACATTAACTGCAATGCCATTTGTGATAACACAAATGAATGATTCTGGCAGTTATTGAGACTAATTACTAAAAAAAATACTAGCTCACAAACAGGCGTTTTAAAATCACAACACATTTTAACAAAACGTGTCTGGAAATGAAATAAAAAAGAAAACTCATAAAATGTTGAAGTTGTCAGCAACAAATGCATTTAACACTTTTTCCGTAACTCAGCAAAAACGTGAACATATGTAAATACTGTTTTCTGGAATATTGGGTTGAAGCAGTTACAGTGTTTGTCGCAGTTTACACCACAGACACACACAGGATGCTGGCATTTGAAACAAAAAGGGGACAGTGTTTCCATGATGTAGTCCCAGTACAAGTTTCATAACACCCCCACACCCAGCCACCCACCCACACACACAGACACACACACACACACGCAAACACATGCTGCAGTTCTCCTCCTGAACAGTAGATGTTGCTAATGAAAAAACAACGCTAAACAACAGGAAGTGCAACCAAGACTTGTCAGCAAACATRGGAGCAAATTAAATTTTTATTTTATTTTATGCATTTATCCATCCATCCACCCATTACCTTAACCCAATTCAAAGATGCAATAAGTCGGTGTATCACAATTTAACCCCAAATTGGCCTCTGAACTGTTGTAGTTGCATCCTGCACACCTGGTACAAATCAGCTGATCATCACGTCCCCACTGTAAGACACACTGTAAACCTCCTTCAAATGTTGCATCAGAACAAGGAGCATGAAGTCTCTGCTCATAATGCCTGGACCCCAAGATAAATGTATTAAGCCACTTCTAGGTTGATAAACAACGATTGCCAACTGTGTGTGCGAGAACAACTCAAAACAGACAAACGGGCACCTGATTGGGGTCTCCAGAATTTCATTGATTTATGGCTTAGAACATACTGTTTCATTCAGTCTTTTTTTTTTTTTTTTTTTTGTGAAACTCAATTGCTGGAAAAACTTTTAAAACCAAAGCTATATTTAGAAATTAGCTCACAATGGGACTCCGGACTCTTGGTCTAACCAAACCAAAATGATGATTACTTAAAGCTCTAAATATAGATAATTATGTTGGGATTTCAGTAATAATAGTTTTAATTGAGGGCTTTTTTTAAGTTTTGGAGATGTCACCAAGGAATGAGGAAGAATTTGGACCAGTTGATACGACACAGAAAGCATCAACTTTTCAATATTTTTTTTATCATGCCTTTACGGTGGCTCATTTCCCTGCAACAATTTGATGATGCTCTTGTCCTGCTTTGTCCTCTTKTGTCTTCTTCTAATTTAAAAGCAGAGCAAAAGTAACAAAGAAAGAAGGATAAAGTGGCCGAAGTCAGAGGTATGTAGGCGTAAGCTTCCATAGGTGGTTGATGGTGGGGGTGTTGTGCACCGTGACACACATCTGGAGATGAGCTCGGTTTTCAGTTGAGCCTTCACCACAAACTGGAATCTCCTGCTCAATTGACGTCTGTTTGAGCACGGCCCACGCTCTCCACACACCCTCGCTTTGGTCCAATCAACGTGCCGCGCAGGACCACAGGCTTGTAGGGTTTGTGTGTGTGGTGCCACCAAAGCCCTCTGATGCTGCATTCAGGGCTTATGGGAGAAAAAAAATGGCTGGAGACTTTCAATCCCAGGCTCACATCCAGAGGTACTCAATTATTATGTTTGTTTACAGACCAACTTTAATATCCCTGTTATATTTATTGGGAAGAATTCCACCCAAAACTGAGAATTTTATGATTTTGCAAATAGTTACATTAAAAAAAAGTCTCCATCCAGTGAAGAAAACTTATCTTTTTTCTTTTATTTCCCTTTAACTGTTGCTGGTGGGTGTTTTTGCACTTGTTTGTGTGTGTGTCAGCAAGATATGTCTCCATAACCAGTTAAAGACCCTCACTAAAATGTTTTAGACAACTTACGCCAACTTAAGAAAATTTTGTTCAACACTGAAGATGTCTACGTTAAAGATGGAATAAAGAAATCAAATGGAAGCCTCTTTCACATGTACACATACTGTAATTGTAATGATTAGATTGAATATACAGGTATGTGACCCATCATATCGAAATGAGGATTAAGTCAAATTTGCTCAAAATGACCTAATCACATTTTCAGATTCCTGGCTTTACAAGCTACATTTTAATGCCTGGATCAATCTGATGTCATAAATGTATCCAGATGTATGACTTAATTTGTCTTGCTGGTTACAAAAATACAATAAGATTTGGTCTGAATCCTAATTTTGTGTAATTTTARTGAGGAATTTTTGATGTCATTRTAAAGAGAAAACTTCAGATGGAATTTGAATATAAGATTTCCCAGCTGTAAAGGAACAAAAACATATAGCTCACAGAAAAATTCTCAAAATTTTAAGCCATTTTTGCACAAAGTCAGTTTTTTTGTTGCTGCTGCTCAAAAAAGTGCTTCAAAATTTTGATTTACAATTA